TTTTCTTAACAAATCCTTTTTTTCATCAATATTTACATTGTTGCAGTGTTCCGAACTATGAGTTTCTTTACAAAAGATACAATTACTTTCTGTGACAGGAGCTAAATATTCTACTGTTTTGTTTACATTTGAATTGAAAGGGCGATTTTGATTTCGAGGTGACTCACGCGAATTGCCAAATTGTTGTTTTGCGACAGTATTATGATTAATGAAGTTTTTCTTTCTATCTACCCTCGAGTTTTGGAATGAAACAGATTCCCTACATTCTATTTCAATTTTTAGAAAATTTATCAGTTCCATTACATCAAAATCACTTAGATTTGCTTTATCTAATTTTCTACGGTTAAAGCTTAAAGCTAATTCTTCAGGAATTAATTTAATCAAAATGGGGTACAATAAATGTCCATACATTCCGGAAGTTACTTTTAAAGAGTCCAAACTTCGAATTTGTACTTCACAAGTGTCATATAATTTTCTTAATCCTAAAACATTATTAGCATCTTTAACAGGATAGAGATTTAACAATTTGTTCATATGAGCATTTATAACTAATTCATCTCTACCGAATCTTTCTTTTAATAGTTTAACAGCTTTTCCATAATTTTCCTCAGAAAGCGAAAACCCATTAACAACGTTAGCTGCAGCACCTCCTAAAAGTGATTTTAAATACGAGAATTTGTCTATTACAGACAATGTTTCATTTTTATCAATTGTACTTTGAAATTGATTCCAGAATTCTATCCAAACACACGGATCTCCATAATATTTTTCTATCGATAATTTAGGAAGTTTAACATTATTATTTATTTTCCGATTCAAAACTTCTGTGGCTATAGTATTGTTGGAATGATCTTGTGCCTGAATTAAATTTACCCTATCATAATTATTAGCAGATGCATTACGAAGAAAGGATTTTATCTTAGAAGAAAGTTTCGAATTCCATAAAACAATTTTCTGACCATATTCCATTGCAGATTCAATTTCTGCATCAAAATCATTTTCATCTACAATAAGAGATTGTATAGTATTATCTAATTCATTTATTTGTTTTAATCTACTAGTCAAAAAATCTAAATGTTGTTCTAGTTCAGTATCAGTATTTATTTCATCAAATTCTTGTTCTAATTTGTTAATATATTTTGTTATGCTAGAACGCAAAACGCCTCTAATTTTTCTCTGTTTAGTTAATTCTTCCATATTTTAAAAATTCTTATCAACACTAATAATCAAATTTATAATTTGTATGATGCTTCAATATTTAGTAAATATGTAAACAAATACTGCATCACACAATCAAACAAAGCAACTTTCTACATAACAACTGCTTTAAATTTGAAGCATCAAATTATCTAAATCTTCATATAGATCAAATTATCAAATATTCCTACCTTTCTTTTCTTTACACTTCCTGATCAATCCGAAATCGAAACAATCTATAACAACAAGAATGTTGTTTCTCGGCCGATGCACAAAAATGCTAACGGTGGTTCATCTATAAAATCTGATTGTAGATATTCTATCAGGAAGTGATCAAAGTAATTCTAAAAATTCGATTAAGAGGAAATCAACGCAATTCTAATTCAACAGTCCTATCTAAGAATATTTTAAATATTTAATAAGAGAAAAAAAAAGAGATTACATTTTTAAAGCTCAACAGCTACATGAAATTCTAAACATCGAATGAATATTAATATTCAGTTCTTTTTTTGTTTTTGGCAGTGCGCATGCGCGTCGTTACTTCTACGTAAGAAGAAAATTGTTACTTGACGGGAACAATACTCTTCTGAAGGACACATGGTGAACAAAAGGATACCGATAATGTAGCCGCAGATTAGTGGATTAAAGAAGAATGGCCTAAACTTATTGCCACATATTCACTTGAAGATGTATATAACGCTGATGAAACTGGCCTATATTTTCGTGTGTTGCCTGAACACACCTACATGTTTCAGAAGGAAAGTACGCAAGGGTCTAAAACCTCCAAGGAACGCCTAACTGTGCTATGTTGCGCTAGTACGACTGGCACTAAAGAAAAACTTTTAGTGATTGGAAAAAATAAGAAGCCCCGCTGTTTCAAATGTGTGAAAAATCTGCCCATCGATTATTTTGCCAACAAAACGGCTTGGATGACTACCACCATCTTTAACGAATGACTGTTGAAATGGGACAAGCGACTAAAACGGAACATACTCCTGCTCATAGACAACTGCACCGCGCTTGATGTAACTGTTTCATTAAAGAAGATAAATATTGTGTTCTTACCACCAAACACCACTTCTTTACTTCAACCAAGTGACCAGGGAATTATCCGCACCTTGAAGGCATATTACAAAAAGGAAATGCGTTCAAGGATCTTAGAAAATATGGAAGACCAAGACGCTGAAGATCTTAATGCGAACGCTCTAGCCAAAAAAACAAATGTTTTGGATGCCATACATTTGTTAACAATGTCATGGAATAATGTCTCGGAAAAAACAATTCGAAATTGTTTTAGTCATGGAGGATTTTGTCAACCAGAGGACAACAATGCTGCTGTAATGAAAGAAATGGAAGACGTTTTCAATCCCCCGCCCGATATGAATGCTGAGGATTTTGAAGCATGAATGGAGATCGACGAGAAAGTTGAGACTTCTACTTCGTTAACTGATTAGGACATTTGCGAAGCCGTATGTGTCAAAGATCCAGCTTCGTCACAAGATACTGATGCCGATGATGAACCCGAAAGTGCTATCGAGGACAAAATTCCGACGCCTGCTCAGATGAGGGAGGCACTTCGAGTCTTACGTCTAGGTGTGCAAAACAAAGCCGACGCGTAACACTTTCATAAACATTATGATTATGAGCGATTTGTAAAGGACTTGCTTAGAAAGAATGCTAAACAATCGACAATTGATGATTTCTTTTTCAGTTAATAATAAACCTTTTGTATTTCGTATTGTTTTCTGCAGTTCATCATTAAATATGTAAGTGTACTAACTTATTCTTTTTCTTTAGTGTACATTAATTTCTATTAAATACTATGGAGTTTTACAGCAACAACTCGTTTATTTTAATATGTATGTAAAAAAAATAAGTTTTTAGCAAAATTTTTTTTTCGTTTACCGTATTGTAATCAATCTGTTATTGTTATCAAATCACGTTCGTCCTGATGTGATCACATTAAGCGGCGTCTACTGTATAAAAATTCCAGTATGTTTTATTTAAAATGATTGAAAGTATAAATTTTATTTTGCAATTTTTTTTTGGTAAATAGTTGTTTTTCTAGTAAATACTTCAGAACTTCGTTTTCAACAGTTAAACTTAAAAACTGGGTTCGTGATTTTTTTAAAGAAAATCCAAAAATCAGATTTTTATTTTATTTAAATCGAATTTTTTAAAATTTAAATCAGATTCTTTTAAATTCAAAAACACTGTAAGAACTTTCATTTATGAATTAAAATTTTTTATAAATGTTCAATCAAAATTAAATGAATATTTAAAACTTTATTATAACAATATTTTAGAAGCTCTAACTTACTAAAATAATTTTTCATTATACATAGCTTTGAATGCATAGCAACCATTTTGATGCATGATTGAAATTTAAAGACTAGATGAAATAGAAAATTTAAAGAATACTTCAGGGGTCTGACTAGCTTTTTCTGAGAGGTACCTATTTTGTGAAAATTTAGACATAATTTGTGAAAAATAAAAATTATATTAAAAAATCAACACAGATGTGGTAAAAATATGGATTTATTGTTTCTTACGAGACACAAAAATATAATTTTAAGAAAAAAGTATTTTGTGAAATTATTCTACCGTTTTCCCTAAAGTTGAATTTGTGAAGGTACGGTAGTAAATTTCGCTTGGACAGACCCCTGTACTTTAACTATTAAAACAAAGTTTCAATTAGCAGACCATAATTTTAATTTGAAATTGTGATTTCTTTTTTTCTCTTGATTTTTAAAATGACAAAATAAAGGTAATAGATTGTTGTTTATAAATGTAGTCATTCATCAAAAAAAAAAAAAAAAAATTAATTTATACATTTTTATATTAAAATATTCATTTTTAATTCTATATCAAAATAGATAAGTTAAGCTTGATTAATTTTTATTCAAATACACTGTAAGAACTTTAATTTATGGATTAAAAAAACTTTATTATAACAATATTTTAGAAGCTCTAACTTACTAAAATAATTTTTCATTATAATACATAGCTTTGAATGCATAGCAACCATTTTGAAACAAATGCATGATTGAAATTTAAAGACTAGATGAAATAGAAAATTTAAAGGAGTCTTCAGGAGTCTGTCTAGCTTTTTCTGAGAGGTACCTATTTTGTGAAAATTTAGACATAATTAAAAATTACATTAAAAAAGCAACACAGATATGGAAAAAATATGGATTTATCGTTTCTTACGAGACACAAAAATAAAATTTTAAGAAAAAAGTATTTTGTGAAATTATTCTACGGTTTTCCCTAAAGTTGAATTTGTGAAGGTACTTTAGTAAATTTGGCTTGGACAGACCCCTGTACTTTAACTATTAAAACAAAGTTTCAATTAGTTTTGAATTTAAAATTTATTATTTATTTTAATTTAATTATTTTAATTTAAAATTTGATTTCTTATAACTTTCTTGATTTTAAAAATGACAAAATAAATGTAACAGATAGTGTTTATAAATGTAGTCATTCATCAAAAGATAAATATATATTTAATCTATATATTTTTATAGTAAAATATTCATTTTTAATTCTATATCAAAATAGATAAGTTTAACTGAAAAAAAAAATTTAAAACTGTATTCATTGGGATTTTTTTCTACAAAATTTCTTTATAGAAAATCAGATAATGTCAATGATACTGTAAACATATTATGAGAAAAAAATACCAGTTAATAACCCTACTGCTTCAAATAGACTTTGAAAGAGTTTGAAAGGGAAGAATGACACTATATCCGGAAAAAAGTATCTAAATTCATCAGCCTATTTTTGTTTCTTCTATTTTTGGCATATCAGGGTAATTTCTTTTTAATATAACCTCAAGCTTCAGAAATATGCATTTCTCCCCAATAAAATATAATGTAGATTTTAATTCCACGCTAAATTCATGTTTATTAATTACTCTCTACAGCTAAGCAAGTCTTTATTAAGACAGCATTAAATATTTACTTTAATCTGTACTTGCAATCTCAAGAATCAAAAGATTTTTAAAAATGTAACTTCAAATGTGTTGGAATTTAACACATACCAAGATAGAAAGTAATTTCGTTAACTAAAATGAATTAATGTGGAAATTTATTCAATATAAATTTTAAAACTAAGAAAAGAAAATAATAAAAGTATCAATAATGTAAAACACGGTTTTTTAACTTTTGAAATCAATATATATATTAAAAAAAATTAGTTGATTTAAATCATGATTTAAATCAAGCTGATTTAAGTCAACAAACTCTGCTTAAAAACTCGGTTTATTTTATTTGTTTATAAGGGAGAGCCAGATACTTAATAAGTTTATTTTCAAGATTAATATTAATTTTTTATCTGAAAATAGTTATTCTAATAATCAACTCGAAAAGACATTTGAAAAATTTCAATTTTTTCCCAAGGTCTTTCAAAGGTATGTGTAAAATTTTAAATATATTTTTACTTAACTAAGAAATATTGATATTATGGGAAAAAAAGCTTTTTTGAATTTTTTTTTCTAATTTTTCAATTCAAACTATAGCCTTTTTTCCTCGGAAAATTTTAATTACACATTTAATATATATGATATGTGACCAGACATTTTGGTTAAAAATTTAAAGAAAAGCAGTCAAAGTTTTACTCAATTTTCTGAATCCGGTCAAAAGATTTTATACTGTGCAGCTAACTGAATTGTTATTTGGTTATCTATTAAAAATAATGTGTGTAATGCATTTCCTCCTTCTCGATCAATCCCCACACCTTTATCTCTACTTAATTTCAACTATGACTGGAATTTTTGCATTTTGCCTCAAGCTTTCTTGCTCAAACAGGGCCTTCCTGGAAAGCCTGGAATTATCAGGGAGATTTTTTTTTACTGGAAAAAAAAATAAATAAAAATTATACTTTTAAAAACCACGTTCTTGTAATGGAGAATAGAATTAAAGAACAAAAATTTGAAAAACGAAAAATGTGGGGCGCATGAAATGCGTAACGGTATGTGTGCTCATGAGAATATGTGTATGTATATCTGTAATTGTATGTGGTTGTGCATGTGTAAGAGTAAGAAAATGTGTTTATGTACTGTTATGTATTTCATGCTCCCCGCATTTTTTGTTTTTCAAATTTTTGTTTTTCAATCATTCTCCACTACAAAAACATGGTTTTTTAAAATATTATTTTTATTATTTTTTTATGCTCACTTCCAAAATCGCAATTTTTTCACTCACTTTACACGAAACTTTTCAACTGACATGTGACACTAATTTGAAATAATCGAATCGACAACAAGAGACAATCGTGAAAATATTAATTTTTCTTTAATTTTACTTTGTATGTCTTTTTTCTCTTCATTTTCATGCATTGTCATCCAATTCTGAACTATGTGACAAATTTGAAATCTGTAGCTAGTCGGAAAGTTAGTTTTAAATCGATTACAAAATTCCACCCGAACAGACATACACAAAGGCAAGTTGATATAAACGTGGTAAAAAATCAGGGTGATTTATATAAAATCTGGAAAGAATCAGGGAATTTCAAAGAAAAGCTGGAATTTTTTTAAAATTTAAATTATTTTACCATCTTTTATACTCCCTTTTTTTTAGATGGAAATTTTTCGCCAAACAGTTAAAATATTCTCAACTTAGCAATACTTTGCTTGCATTAAAATTTGCTCCATTAATAATCTTGTAAAACCACAATAAACTTTCCCATGCTTGCTAAATGAATGAAGAAACCTCTTTTGAAAACTTTGGATATCTTTACAGGAAAGACCTTCCTTCCACATTCTGAAAATGTTATAAATTTATTAACTCTAATTTTATTTTTATATCGGGATGAGTTGGACATATTAGGGAAGATTCAACTGTCCAACATTAACTCGTTGTCTCGAGTGCATCTGGAAGGAAAGTTGGATCTTTACCCATACTAGATGAAACAACCACCATGTATACAAGTGACCATTGGCCAAAGTTTGCCTATGCAGATATGCATTTGGTTTGATGGCTTGGTATAAAGATAATTTCATGCCTTTATTTAGAGGTAACTTTTTGAAGGTTGAACTGTTTAATAAGCTTCTTTTTAAGGAAAAGAATATGTTAATGGATTAAATCAGTACTCCTCAACCTTTATATTTACTTTTAAGTTTGTGCGTACTAAGGGGAACAACCACTATAATAAAATTCCTCATGTACAGAAGTGACCATTGGTTAGAATTTGCTTATTTGCAGTGAACTCCTAAGTAAATATGCATTTTTGATAAATTCATAGCTTGATAACTTGTTATAAAAGTAAATTTGTTATCTTTATTAATAGTTATCTTTATTTAGAAGCTTATAAAAGATTGATGATATTTTTTAAAGAAAAGGAATGTGTGACGTCTCTCCTTTGTGAGATGGTTCACTTCAGTTACTCCCTCTCAAGGATAACAGGAATTTTTCATATATATAATATTTTAATTTAGGATTCTTGTTTATCCTGGGTGTGTAGCGTTTTTAAAAAGTGTTTAAAGGTGCTTATTTTCGATTTTCGTTTTTTAAAAGCCCTTAAAGGTGCTTTTTGCAATTGGTGTTTTTAAAAAGTGCTTAATTTTCCCTTTTTCAAAATAAGATTTTTCCTTTACCATGTTGATTTTCGCTATGAATTATACAAAAAGACACATTTGGCATTATTCTATTCAATGTTTTCACAATTAATTCAACCCTAGTCTATTTCGGTGTATTGTCAGTCCGTGGCGTATGAAAACGCCATTCGTTTTACATTATTTAAAATTTCATGATTTTTGACAATTGTCAAAAACAATGCCAAAAGGTTCTTTGACATGACAGTTAAAACAAGATAAAACCATCAATTGTCAAAAACTTTCCAACCCTGCTTAATTATATTTTTTTTTAAAGTGCTTAAAAATATATTTTGAGTGCTTGAAAAGTGCTTATTTTTAGTTGAATAATTTGGCTATGCACCCTGTTATCTATATATTTACAATTAAATATCAACAGGTACATAAACTACAAAAGATAACAACTCCAGAGTTGTATTGCTCCCCACCGTCTCTCTCCGCATTCAAACTATATTAAAAAATACTTTTTCTTACTAAATAACTTCCTTCACTTTTCCTTACTCAACCCCACTCTAGGGGAATGACCCTTCCTGTCTCCCTCTGACCCTCAGGTCAGGGATCGATCAAATGCGTGGAATGTATGTGCTCCTTTTTATCACTGTTAGCATTTGGGATGCTTTAATTGTTTTATTTTGATTTCATTGTACATAAACACACCTTCAAAATAAAATCAATTACATGCACAGTATGGGTGTGACTTTAAGCGGTCTCCGTAGAAAGTTGTACTAACACGAGATTAAATGACATGTTCCTTGGGCATCATTTGATCCAAGGACAGAGTTTAAATTATCATAATTATTATTTATAAAGTCAGATAAACAATTTTAGCAGAAAACAAAAATTATAAAAATTTAAGATATGTGTGTTAGCAGAACAGCACTTCATCAGGGGACACACTGCCTGCCAACACACAGGAGCCTTTCTGTTGTCAGTGGTGAAGCCCAAAACTGACTGTGCCCCGAGGCCCCATATTGAAGCCCGTATAAATAGGCCTATGTTGTGAAATTTAGAATTTTATGTTCCTGAAGCATATGGACGGTAGCACCTTTTTAAAGTTTTTTCAGTTTTATTTTTTCAAAAAAGGGTTCGCTTGATTTATTTCTAAAGTTTTCTTAATGATTTGGCAATTTATATTTTATTTTGATGTATCTATTCCAACTGTAACTTTATCTTTATTTATTTTTCTTATTGGTGGGCGTCAATTTATTATGTCTTAGTTTGTGTACTTTTAGTCATTATTTAGACTTACTTTGTGATTATTTGTCATTTTTTTTTCTTTGCATATACATTAAAATTTTTCTAATTGCTTTTTCTTATTTGATTTTTCATTATGGGGCCCCGGGGCACTGTCTGTTTTTGGCTTCACCACTGACGACAGAAAGGCTCCTGTGTGTTGGCAGGCAGTGTGTGTCCCCTGATGAAGTGCTGTCCCTCTAACACACATATTTTTAAATTTTTTTTATTTTTGTTTTCTGCTAGAATTGTTTTTCTGACTTCATAAATTAAAATAAAACAAATTAGCTGCTTGAAGCGCTTTTCTATTTTGATTAAGTGTTAATTACTTTTTTTTTCTTTTCTGAATTTGTGAATTAGTTTCGTTCTTTGATTCGACATAATTAATTATATTATCATTCTAGGAGATGGATGCCTTTACTCTTATTAAGGATACAATGCGTGAAACCTGTGTAACTAAATTGGTTGATTCGTGGCATCATATATTGGTGAGTTTCATTTATAAACTGTTTTGTACTGTAGTTTGATCTGTTGGTCTAGGTGTGCACCACTCGATGTGTAAAAATCTGAAAATGTTGTTCTGAAATTTTGAAATATAAAAATCTGAATATGAAAATGAAATGTAAAAACCCTGCCCGGGTTTGCAAAAATTGCCTGGTACTTCTTTGGCAAGCCCTGTTAATTAGTACAATTATATGAGTGTTTACATTAAATTAAAATTGTTTTCTATTATTCTTTTTTTATCTATTGTTTAGGAAGGTAGATAATTTACACTGTCACTGGTGGCTTATGTAAATTCGTTGATAAACTATCATACTATTTTAAAAGTCCTTAATTTTCAAAAAAAGTCCTTAATTTTTGCTTTGTTGAAAGAGTGGGAAGTGTTTTTTAAATTTTTACTTTTGTAATATAATTTTTATGTATTTAAAGTTGACTATTAAGAATTTTTAATTTTTATAGATCTTATATTATCTTGCAAAGTTGTTTTCTGCCATTGGTTCTATACTCTGTTGCACATTAAGAAAAGACCATTGTGGTATAGGATTTGAGTGATAATCCACAAATGTATATAGTTTGTTTTATTTTGTTATCAAATGATGCAAATATGCTTTCTAATTAATTTAAAAGCTTTTGAACGTTAAACATGTCGAATAGAATTTGTGCTATCTTCTATGACATATATCACAGAAGAAGGTTTCAGGAATCCTACAACATATTTTGATAAATAAGGTGAACATTCATGCTTAAAAAATAAACAACAATATGACAGTGTAAGAGCATTGGATTTAATAGAACCACTAAAAATAGTGCATCTCATGCTTCCCATAACCAATCAAATGCAAGAATTTTTTTAAATTTTGTTTTGTTCTGCAAGAAAGAATATTTAATATTCTTTCATCAATTTTTTTTTATTGTGGACAGAAAGACATACATTTGTTAAGATTTTTAGACATCATTTTTATTAATTCTTATTCACTGTTAATTGATTATTGTTGCTGATAACTATTATTATTATTAATAAGGAAGAAAGCAAGCAAAAAGAAGGTTGTGCAACGTCGTTTCAAGAGTTGGCGATATTGATATAGGTTCACGCTGGGAGCTTGGCATCCATTTGGCATGCAGTCTCTATAGAAATAAGAGTTTTTTCTTAACTTGCAACAGAGTATAATTGTTTCTGAGATTTCTGCATGGGTAGTTTTATATTTATACTTCATATAATGTTTTAATAAACATTCTAAAGTTTGTATGACATGATAATGTTTAAAAAAAGAAATCAAAGTTGTACCTCCCAAATATTGAAATATTTCAGTTTCTGCAATTTTATTTCATTCTTTTTTCAATATTTATTGCTATTCTAGATTAAATGTTGCTTTATTATATGTAATAATGTATATTATTTGTAGATGAAAAACATTCATTTCTTAGGTGACCTACCAAACTCTAAATCCTGATCTGATCTGTTTGTGCTTGGAGGTGATTGGGTCATACATAGCCTGGATAGACATCAATCTCATTGCAAATGAACGCTTTGTTCAGCTTTTCATCACCTTCCTAATTTCTACTTCTCTCAGAGAATCTACATGCAATTGTATTATTCACATCATATCTAAAGGAATGGATCCTGGTGCTAAGGTTAAGCTTGTAGAGTCTTTTGTAACCGTTCTCAAACAAGCTGGAGTATTGGAATTTACTGGGGTAAGATCTCACTTTAATGCTTATAGTTTGCACTTTTTTAAATAAATGTTAGTCCGCAATAAGTTCAAAAATGTAAAATTTTAGGCAGGAAGTTGTGTTGTATGTATTACATCAGGGGTCGCATTCCCCCTAAAATTCCTAAAATTATGTACAAACCCTAAAATTCCTAAAAATCTGCTAAAATTTTGTTGGTGTTCCTAAAAAATTTGAGTTATAGGAATAAATCACAGAGAAAACGAAAATGCCGCGCCTCTTTCTTTTTGTACCGAATTTGCTTACGTCATCGCTTCTCTGCAAGGAGAGGAGGGTGGGAGGAGACGCGGGACGGCGGTTGGGGAAGAAAGACGACGACCGGCGGTGTGACGACATTCAGGCGAGTGATTGGGTGATTGGTTTTTTTTATCACGTGGTTATTTTCACTCCTAAGACGTCACGGGCCTCTCCTCTCCCCCCTCTCCACCTGTCTCTCTTTTTGTTCAGCGTGGTTCTGAAATCCTTCGCCATCTTGGTTGATTTGTTATTTATAAATTGATGCTATGGGAAAAGGACGAACAAAATTCCAGACGGATTGGTTTGAAAAAGAACTAGATGGTGTTTTGCTTAAAGAATGGTTGGAATCTGTGACTGGAAATGACTATTCCGCGAAATGTAGTTTATGCTGTGAAACATTCGAAGTATCTGGAAGTGGATTCGCACAAGTACGATCGCATCATAAAGGGAAAAAACATCATCGGAAATTTGATGAAAAATTTAAAGGAAATGGTCAATCAACAATATTCAATTGGATGCAAAATAAAAGCAGTGATACAGCTGTTCTTAGCCAGCAGANAATTATTTATGATTTGTATAGATGAATAAGAATAATCTTCTGTTATGTAATAAACTACGGTGTGACCTGTTTTTATCCTAGCATATTACCCCTAAAATTTACCTAAAATTTTTTGAAAAAGTTCCTAAAATTACCCTAAAATTTTAAAAAACTTTGCTGCTACCCCTGATTACATATATAATATAAATGTTGTGTTGATAAAAAAAACAATGGATACCCAACTAAAGTAATTAAATTCTATATAAAACCCTTGAGTTAATTGTATATTATTGTAAATAAATTTACTAAAAAACTTCTTTGTTAATTTATATAATTTTAACCGTCTGCAAATCCGTGGCTAAAATTATGTGCAAAACCGACAATTCATGTTTCTTTCTCTTTTCTATTTCATTTTTTTTTCTTAAATAAAAGTTAATTTTCTAAAATTATTAAATTTCTAAATTTATTAATTGTCAACTTCTTTAAATTATCCAGTAAAATATTACCTTGCGTGCATCCATTTTCGGGCCTATCCTTGGTAACTAACTAATCAAATGCACTTCAGTACTGCAGTAAGAACGCACTTTAAAACAAAACCCTTCTTTTTACGCTTTTACCTCAATTTGCGCTTCTGTTTTCATATTTTGTAATCTGGCAGTCTTGTTACAAAAATACTTTAAATCATTCTTGAAAAATTTCCCGTTCCTGTAAGTTCATTTGAATTCGTTACTCGCTTTATAGATTTCGTTTTCTGTTTTTTCTTTACATTTTATTTTCTCTTTTTACGTGCTATTTTTTCATAACACATTTTATTTTATTTGTTGTATATTTTTTGCAAATTTTTTTGAGTGCTCCTGATATTTTGCTTTGGCTATATTGATACACTATTAGAAAAAGCACTCCTTTTTGCAGATGAACTAATGAAAAGACTTTTATTTTTCCAAATTCCCTTTTTCTTGGATTTAAATTTTTTCTAAAATAGGTAGAATTAAAGGGATCTTAAAACATAAAAAGAATTATATTTAAATAGTAGACTTCTAACAGATAAGGTTTTTAAATAACCTCTTTTGCATAATTAACTAAGCACTTTGTGTATATATTATCGTTAATTAGTTAGCTTTATAAAATGAATCCATACTGCATAGTAAAATGTCTTTATGAAGATGAAATCTCATTCAGTTGAATAAATATTTTGAGATTTTAGTTTGTCATCCTGTCCTTCTTGCAGCTTCAATCATAACAAAGGATATTATGGATCACATGACATGAACTATATGCTGCCTGTTTGCGCACTTGTCTTTTTGAAAAATGAATCTGTATACTTGTCTCCAGGAGTTTCTGCTTCATGTACATTTTATGCAGTTTTATTTAAGAATGATATTTCAGCTACACTAAACTATTTCATTTGCATTATTTAAGTATGTTCAGCATTCCTTTTTTTCCCCCTTTAACACGTCGCATAGCGTTTTTAAAAAACCCTTGAAGGTGCTTTTTTCTTGGGGTGTTTTTGAAATGTGCTTAATTTTCCTTTTACGAAAATTAGATTTTTTACTTTACCCTGTCGATTTATGCTAAAGCGTGGTTTTGACGTTGTTTTATTCAACATTTTCACAATTCATTTGATCACTTTCTATTTTGGCATCCCGTCGATCCACAACGAATGAAAGCGCCAATTATTTTACATGTTTGATGAAATGCTTGCGAGTCCACACATGCATATACTGAGCTGGCTTCCTTGAGATAGTGGGTTTAACTCGCAAAGCAGAGTACGCTAAAAATGATGAAAACACAAGTAAACAGGAACTCAACATTTATTAATACTTTAAATGTTTAACTTAAATCTAAAAATCGTAATGTTGAACAAATATATAAAGAATCATCATCTACAATCTTAATCCTATGACGGATATCAGGCCATCGGCCAAAGACTAAAAAGAAGGGCGTGCTGTTCATAAATCATGGAAAGAATTGATTAACTGATTATTTCTTGACTTTTCTTCACTTCCATCCTGGAGATGAATCTGCAAAAGACATAAACACTAAAGCTTGTAACTTGAAATTACTTGTTTCCACGGAGACTCTTGCACTCTCATATGCATCTCTGCTGCATTTTGCAAGATATTTTCTATTTCAGCCTTCATTTTCCACTCTCTGATATCGAACCAAAAAACCTCTCGATCTTTTTGCAGCGGCTAATATAATTGAGACAGGAGTTCTTTGTCAGAAACTAGTTATTTTCTCACAATCATCTTAAGTGTGAAATTTTTTTTGCATTTTATTAATGTATATAGTGCTTAAAAAAATTTCGGAGTGCAACTTAAAAGGTGCTTATTTTTTGTTGAAAGATTTGGCTACACACCCTGTGCAAGTTTTTCCAGCAATTAGAACTAATGAATATGGTTGGCCCAATATATCACTCACACAAGCACAGTGTTTCCTCTTAATATATTGTGTATAATATATGCAGGGAAAACACAGGAAATTTTGTTTCTTATTTTTGTCTTTTAAAAAAAATGGTGACCACTCAAAGCATAATCTATGGGATATTTAACCATAATATTTCAACTATACTAAACTATTTAATTTACTAATAGCATTATATAAGTATGTTCAGCTGTTTTTCCAGCAATTAAAACTAATGACTATAGTTAGCCCAATATATCTCTCTCATGAGCACAGTGTTTCCTCTTAATTTATTGTGTATAATATATACAGGGAAAACACGGGAATTTTTTTCCCTCCAGATTTGAATGGCAACCCTGACACAAAGTATTATTTGTTTTGTTCCTCTATTTGTCTTATTTCTTCATTATTTAAAAAAAAAAAAAAAAATAAAAAAAAAAACCCATTGACATCTGAAAGTAAACATCTCTTAGTTACATGTAAATTTTGTTTAACTTAAAATTTTTAGGGCTAAAGTAATGGAGTTTAATGCTAGAAAAACTGTTTTTTCCGTAGAATTATAAAATGAAGTTTGCTCTTATACCCGAATAAGGTATTGGGTGATCGCAGACACCTGTGCCACCTAGTCGCCTGAAACATGGTAAGGCAGTGGCACTGTGATCACATTTGCGTTGAGGTACCTGTCCTGCAAATCTTTGTCTTGGGACCTATATGACTTATGTTTAGCCTTGGATGTAGTTAATCTTCTTCCTTCGCTGCACTGCAGCTTTCGTGGGACCGGCATTGAGTTGTCGGGGGCAGTATCAGTTAACGCATTAAAAAAAATATAATGTTGTGATCGAGCTCTCAAAATTCTTGCATGCGCTTCACTTTTTTATTGCGGCAAACAAGTTAAGTAGTACATCCCTCTTCCAACCCCCCCATGTTGAAAAAGGACTTGAAATTTTGACTACTTTTATCTCGGCAGTGAAATTAGCTTTAAAGGTTGATTATATATCCTGGAGAAAATGAGGACTAGAAAATACTGGACTAATTGTTTATGAAAATTGGTTAACTCTTACTTAAAATTGAATTGCAGTCAATTGAAAAGTACTGATTTCCTTCATTGAATGTAAAAATAAATTGATTAATTTTTATTTTTAATATTTGGTTTTTTATATGTTAAAATCAGTCAAAGAATTTATAAATAAATTATGTGCTAACTTAATAACTTTTTGGCAAAAGTGGTAAAGATTTTGATTTTTGTGAACCACTGCTTATAGTGGTCGTGTTGCTGGATCTGCTGACAGTTTAATATAGCACTATGTTATGACAATACTAAGTAAAAATTTTTTGTTGGAAATTTAATTATTCAAGATTTTCCTTTTCAATAGAAATGATGGAAGAGGTGAATGGCATATTTATAACTTAACTTTTAACAGTTGTTCAACATTAAAAGAGCTTCTAGTAAAATGTAAATAACAGGACTTATTTGACTAACAGGTGTTAATCTTGATCATTTTGGAGGTTTTTTCCATTTATGATTTCCCGCAGTGGACAGATCGTAAAAACATCCAGTAGAACACCCCAGTCAAGCATCACTGGCTGACCACTTTGATCAGCCTGCGTATGGACCGAGGGTGTGTGACATGGGTCCTCGTCAAACCGTTCTGTCGTAAAGAGCTTGACTTCACATGCAGGTCATCTGGCTACGAAAGCAGGGGAGTCACCCCCTCTGCAGAGGATCAAAATTGCGATGGCATACTTTCAGATCATCCTCAGGGATGTGTCCCAGACCATCACTAATAGCCCATTGTGCAGCTCAGCATTAATAAAAGTACTGTACCTACTGTTTAGATAATTTATAATTAGTACTTAAGAAAAAATTAAATACCAATTATTTATGTAATGACTAATTTAAAAATGTATTATAAAATTTTTCCTACATTCTGAAGATGAATAGGGTAAAATATTTTTACTAAACATTGATAAATTAAAAAAATAAATAAATCTATTGTGAGTTAACCAGGGTTATGTAGTTGTTGTAGTGTGCAGCTATTTATCCATGCAATTGTGTTTTATGTGTAACTATTTATTAATATTTTAATCTAGAGTCCAGACGATGAAGATTTCATGGTGAAACTATCATCTCTTGTTAATGTAATGGGCACAGCCATTCTTAATAGCTGGACTAGGTAATTTTTATCTTTTAGTGACATTTGTGAGACAACCTTCATCTTTGAAAATATACCCCCAACGTAGAATCGAGTTAACATGGAATTGGAATTATATTTTTCTTGTCTTAGATAGGTACACTACAATTTGAAATTAAATTTTTCCATTTTGAATTGTTGTCCATTTAACTAGAATTGATGCGTAATAATTTTTAACATATTCCATTTAAGTGCAAGTTTTGTTTAACAGTTGTGTTACAAGTGGACAGCCAAAAATTCATATGCATTATTGTATTTGGACTGTAAAATATTTTCTGTTTTCTATGTTTATCTTATTTACGTATTACCCTCTTATCTTTTTTGGGTTTAAGCTTATCGTTGCTTTCTGAAAATTGCTTTGTCTTTTATAATGATTAATTTAATCACTATTTTTTTTATTACTGTTTACATTCAATCCCCTTTATCTTTATATTCCCCCCCCCACAAATTGTCTTTAATATAGCAGGTAAGTTATACTTCCACTGATTCTTAGATTTTTGTGAGACCATTGATTTTATTTCGTAAACGTCGTCGAACAGCTGCTTCTGTTTTCTCGGTTTTACGATTGCTCTCGTTCAATTTCGTAGCCTTGTCATTTTGAACCCAATCCAGAAGACAAGAGAACTCTTGGATCAAGTATTGGGAGAAATTCGTCTTCGTGGAGGTATAGTGCTTAAAAAATATTTGAGTTTGCGGCGGTAATCCCTGGCCCTGTAATCTCACCTTTACTTGGTGATGCAAAAAAAAGAACTTTTACTTCAACTTGCAGGAGTCACGTAAAACCAGTTTTTCTACAAGCAACCGACGATATCCACATTTTAGCTCGTGGCACGGTCGGTGATGCATGGCTTTACAATAATCCTAATTTCATTTTTAACTTTCTGTATTTATTTGTAATTAATTATGTTTAAATTAAATTTATTCTTCAAACTTTAATTGGTAATTTGCTTTAATGCTTATAAATACTGAATTTACCAAATTGGTGACCCTTTTTTCGAACACGCGTTCAACATCAACTCAGGATATGGCGTTTCAACAATTTCAGTAAGTTTATTTTTAAATTGGTTTCCACTAGGAGTATCATGCGGTAACTTTTATTTTCTTGTGTGGCTTTTTTTTATATTTCTTATTACCGTCTAATTTAATAGTTATTTTTACTTCTCACTAAACATGGCATTTTTGTTATAGCAATGTTCGCGTTCATCAATATTTACATTATTTTTAATAATAATCCATAATCAAATTTGTTAACTAAATTCACGACTTATTTGAGAATTTTCTTTTAATTTGTTTAAACATTCCGCAATGCCTAACGAAACTCTAGACGAAAATCAAATTGCTCACGTGGCAGTCAAACCACCTCCGTTTTGGAAATCAAATCCCGCCTTGTGGTTTGTCCGGCTAGAAGCACAATTCACTTTGGCTAAAATTTCCACCGATGATACAAAGTTTAATTACGTACTTGCAGCGGTCGACTCAGATGTTTTAAGTTCGATTAGCGATATTGTTTTAAAACCTCCTAACACTGAGAAATACGAAGCTATCAAAAAACGATTAATTGAGCTGCATTCCGAGAGTGAGGAATCAAAAATTCGGACCCTTCTTCAAGGGCTGGAATTAGGTGACCAGCGACCTTCCCAATTATTAACACGAATGAGAGCACTCGCAGGTGATAATGTGGGCACTCCTCTCTTAAAATCTTTGTGGCTTGGTAGACTCCCTAACAACGTACAAACTATTTTGGCAGCCCTCAATGATGAATTAGACCAGCTAGCTTCAGTTGCTGACAAAATCAATGATCTCACCTCGTATCAACACGTAAACACTGTCGCCGCTGATAAACGTCTGCACTCGAATTGCAAGTCGCTCAGCTCACTAAACAAGTAAGCGAACTCATTTCTTATGTGAGACAGTCTCGAAACCCGAACAGAGAAAGAAAGAATTCTCAACATCGCAGCAATTCTAGAGCTCGCAGAAAATATAAAGAACCTGAAAACAGATATTGTTTTTATCATACAAATTTTGGTAATCGCGCTAAAAAATGTAATTCTCCATGCAACTACTCGGAAAACTAAACAGGCGATCGCACGAAGGCTATACCGATCGCCACATTAATCGTATTTTATTGGCCGATCAAAAAAGTAACCTTAATTTGCTTATTGATACTGGCCTTCGCAGAAAACGACACGATCTGGCCGGAGAGTTCGATTTAATCCCAAATACTTGTAGTATTTGCTGGAGGGGGAGTACTGCGGCGCTGCCCTGGCCCTGTAATCTCACCTTTACTTGGTGATGCAAAAAAAAAGAACTTTTACTTCAACTTGCAGGAGTCACGTAAAACCAGTTTTTCTACAAGCAACCGACGATATCCACATTTTAGCTCGTGGCACGGTCGGTGATGCATGGCTGTACAATAATCCTAATTTCATTTTTAACTTTCTGTATTTATTTGTAATTAATTATGTTTAAATTAAATTTATTCTTCAAACTTTAATTGGTAATTTGCTTTAATGCTTATAAATACTCAATTTACCAAAAGTTCTTCAAAAGTACTTAAAAGGTTCTTATTTTTTGCCTCCCTGAGAAAGCATAAAACAAACAGCATTTCCTTCTTACAATTTTTATTAAGTAATAAATGGGTAATAAATTCTGAGAAAAGTAAGACATGTTAACTCGATTCTATGATGGGGTACCTTTTGATAGATGACATTGTCGATAACTCCTCTCCCCACACTGGGTTTTTAAACAAAAAAAAGTGCCATTTTTAGAAACTCTACTTTGTGCTTCAAAAGAATTTTTCTTTTGTTGAATCTATTTATCGATCTTGTCAAAAAGTATTCATTTTCTTCTTGCTTGTTGTGATTATGAAAATCAAACTATTCTATCTTAGAAATTCCTGGCTGTCATGTAGTACAAAGCCTGCAGTCAGTTGCGTAGTTATAGGGAGGGATTTTTTTATTTTTTTTTTAATTTTTATTTTTATTTAAACGACTTAAAACTCCTCATGCACCACAAAGTATAGCATGAAAACAAAAGGAGAAAAATTTACAAATTTACATTAAAAACAAAATTCCGCAAGGCGGCAAGACTTTCAATACTTTTGACCAGTTCTGATAAGACTGGTGGCCAACAAATTGAAAGACGTCTCAAATCAGTCTTTAAATTCATTCGGGCACTCGCATACAGACTACAGTGAAGAAGAATATGTTCAGCATCTTCATAGGGAGGGATTGGGGGACAAAACCCCCTCCGAAATTATACATTACTTAATAAATGAGCTATTCGGTTCATTAAGTAAGATGTAGACATTAAAAAATTTTCATTACGCATTTTTTTCCTAATTAGAACATTTAGAATACACACACACATATATATATAGCAGCAAACTTGTCAGCCGCCGAGAAAAGAACTTCTTAGTAGTAGCCACATTATAATGTTTGACAACATGCAGTTTGACGTATTAAATCTTCAATTTAAAGTTTCAAAAAACATTTCAACCTACCTCGACAAATCGATAATTAAAAAATATGTAAATATGATTTATTTGTGAGCTTACTTAGCTCTTCTCAATATTTCAATGCTAGCTCTTCAATGTTCAGTTTAATTATTAAAAAATCTTCCCAACTTGTTCGCTTACTACGGCTTAATAAAATCTTTTTCAGTTACCTTACGAGTTGGCAGGTAGATATGACATCCGAGATTGTCGCAGAATATCATTGTATCTGTATCTCAACAAAACAAATAAGAAAACGAAATTTTTATGCCAATAAATTTATTTTAAAAGCATATTACACTGGTAAACATACTCTCACAAACAGAGTGACAAACAAGTAACAGAATGAATACAATACAATAATGCTTCAACAGAAGCTTAAATACTTTTTTTAAACAGGTCACGATCCGCGCTAGAATGACCCACAGCAAATGAAGGGAAACTGGCCGATCCCCGCAGACCATGACATTACTGACGTAAGTTGAATGCTTGAGATAGTCATCTTAAACGACTTACGAAGATCGAACCTTTTACTTTTATGTTATTTAGTCAATCAAAAAATAGAAAAAAACCCTTTTAGCATTTATTTGTCTGACAGTATATATATATATGTCAGAAGGCATAACCCCTCTAAACATACAACGCCACTGGTAGGTAAAAGCAATCTACTTTAGATGTGTATTTTATATCACAATTGTTTTTCAAAATAAAAAAGACATAGTCTTTTATTTTAACATTAAGTATGTGTATTTGTTTATGAGATGACTTGCTTGTTACAACTGCGTTTGCTATTGTAAATTGTTTTTATTGCAGACTTTTATGATATACATATATTTTTTCTGCATTCTTTTAGTTTTTATTTGTTTTTAGATTACAAAAAGCTAAAGATGCATCTGGTATGGCTGTTGCTGCTAATGCAGTTCATGACAAAGTTGAACTGTTGCTGAAATTTCTGAGCAATGATGACGATGAAGTCTCTCAAGGTGTCATAGAGTTTACCAGAGAGTATTTACAATTCCTTAAAAATAAAGTCAGTGCGGGTGTCTATGGCCTCCATGATTCACCCAACGTTGAAGTGAGAAACTTGTCATTGATTCAGTCAAACCCCTTTGGTTCATTATAACCGGGACTTCACTATAACCGTTCCGCAAACAGTTTTAAGTAATAGTTATAAACTCCCCCCCTTTCATTACACATTTTTAAATAAATGACCCATGAAAGGAAATACAAAAATGATTGAAAAATAATACGCAGTAGCAAAAATGTGTTAAATTTTATTTTTTATTCTTCTTGTGGACAAAAAAAAAAAATTAGTAATCTTTAGCTGATGAGCAATCCTCAACATGAGATATGGAAACATTTCCCGATTCTGAATTTATGTTATTTCGTTTTTTTAAACCTGTTTAACCATCCATTTGAGCCTATAAAAGTAATCGCTTAGCAAAAATTCATCGGCTTTGACTTGTCTAGAATACTTCTTTGAATGCTGGTTTTAAAAATCGATATTTATTTTGAAGTCTCAAAATAATTACAAAAGAGTTTTTGGTTCACTCTATCCACAAACAAATAATGTTCTACAGAAGTATAAATGGGATTTAACACTATAAATCACTATAAATGGGATCACTATAAATGGGATGTATTTAAAAAAATGATTTCATTTTTAAAGGAAGAGATTTCTTTATTGGAAGGAAAACCTTCAGATCTCTTACGCAATATTTTCTAAATTGTTGACCAATTAGTGATACTATATATAAATCCTCTTGATAAAACACTTCCTCATTATGTAATCAATTGATCATACTTTTTTTCTTCTTCAAAATAGTGGAAACAACATAAAATACCAAATAATGATTAGAATATATATGAAAAGTACTAAATTAATTTAAAAACTAATGAAAAGTGATATAAAAAATGAAAAAAAAAAGTAAAAGAAATGCTATTTTGAATTAAGAAATCAAAAGACAAGAAGAGATTTTTTTTTATAAAACTTTTGTAAAACTAATAATTATGTACTGTAGTGAATGGTCAGGAAAATAAGTTATTAATACTTGAATGAAAAAGGTACTCTCAAAGAAAATAATGTCTTGAGAATCCAAATATTGTGAAAACTATATTAATTAAGATTGCCAACTAGTCAAGTGTTTCTAAACACAATAAAAAATTTTGAAACTTTTAAATTGAGTTGTCCTTTTTTTGACATGCTCAATTTTCACTCATTCTGTTGCAAATCTATGTTGTTTCTCTTTTCAGTGGTTATTGCTTTGCATAGTTTTAAAAAATGTATCTTTTTGTATGTTCCTTGTTATTTTTTTCACTTTTTAACACGCTTTCTTTTTCTGATTTAAATGGATTTCTTAGGGTTTTATTTCTATACCATGTGGCTTTAAAAATCCCTTATTTTTACTACCACTTTATTATGACATGAGTGTCAAATCACACATATAAGTAATAATCGCTCTTTCATTTTTGGCAATTTCATCGTAAATCCGAGTTAGATTTTTATAATTCTTTTGGCAGTTATTGCTATGCATTTCACATGTTTTTAAAAATTCCAATATTTTTACTAGAGCCGTGGTGGCTCAGGGGATTGAGCCCTCATTCCCTTCTCAGTGAAATGACTTAGGTCTGAATCCCAGCATCGGCATGGGGGATTTATCTCCCATGACCTGCCCTTATTGATATTATTATGCTAAATTTATTATTTAACTTAGAATGCCTTATTATGGATAAAATATTATCTCGTAACTCGAGCTCTACAAATACTAAATAAAAGTTTTATTGCAATTATGATCCAGTTTTCATCTTTAACTATCAATTTCATTATACTGTTTTCATTTCAATCTTCAATTATACCATATAGCACCAACCACACCTTAATTTCCCCTTCATGAGTCAACTTGCTGATTAAATAAGTTGCGTAGATCAAACACCAGATTGATACAGTTAAGAAAATATTGCGTGAAATTAGGGTCAACTGTTACAGAAATGAGTCAGCGGGGTTAAATCCCTATTGAACAGCTATGGCCTACAGCTGGCCGTAGAGCTTCAGAAGAAGAAGGGGAAAAAAAATTTGTACTTAGTGCAAAAAATTTTTATGCTGCAAAAAAAAAGAGGAATAAACATATTTATTTATTTGAAATATTTTGAAATTCTATATTAAATACTTCTTTCAAGAACAATAAATTTTCTCCATTTTTGATTCCCCCCCTGTAAGTTTAGTTGTATGCAGCACATTATTTCAAAGGCTTTAAGGTCTTCCTCAATGCAATCTTTTTACAAGTTTCATCAACTGTTGCATTTAAATTTAACATTTCCTCATCATGGAACCATTCAGGAAACATCAGGAAATCATTTTTCTTTTCAAAGTGAAACAACATTTATAGTCTGTATATTTTAGGGATCCCTTTGACATGACACTCTTCTCAAAAAAATTTTTTCTTTGTTTTTTAAGAAAGCAATTAAGTGTCATGATGATTTATAATCAATATTATCTTTTTTTTAGAGTATTTTATACATTGTTATTAATAAATACAAGTATGATGCTTCGATGGATATGAATTATGAGGTAAGTACTGCTTTATTTGTACTAATATTACATTATATGTTCTTCATGCTTTCATTCATTATTGTTCATTTCGTTATTCTTTTTTTAAGTGAGCATTAGATAAAATATAAAAATTGCATTCAATTAGATTTTAATACATAATTTGATAAGCATTTAACTAGTAATGATGGCAGCTAAATTGTGTTAAGTTTCTTGATATTTTAAAATACTAGTAGGCTGCTCCCCCTGCTCGCTAACGCTCGCCAACCCCCGAAAATTGCTGCGCAATCTTATATGGTTTGCTTCACAAAGCAAGCTCGCTTCGCTCGCTACTAACTTAGGTACATTGCAAGTGCACAAAATTCTAAGAATTCAAAACAATCATTGAAATCCATCTAACAACTTTTTTTAAAAAAAAAAACATCTTTTTAGTAAATACTAAGTCATTAAAATAAATTTGAATTCAAATAAATGACATGTAATTCGTTAAACTTATTAGAAATGTGCTATAGTATAAAATCTTAAGATAAAATTTCTAAAACTGATATCTCTTTAAAAAGGTTAAAATTTTGGCTATAATCAAGTCTATAAAAAATTGAAATAAATGAATTGCAATGGAAAAACCTGCATAAACAAAACATTATGCTTTTAAAAAATAATAACCATGAATGATTCACAACTTTGTTAAAAACATAAGTATAAGTCTTAGAAGTTTGACATACAAAAGAAAAACTTGCAGAAACTAAACATTAATTTGCAATAAATACTAAATGCGAACAAATACTGAGAAAGATTAAGGGCTTTGTTAATAACAAAAAAATAATTACTATTAAAGATTAAGAACTTCCTTAAACACAATTATAAATTTCACTGTTAGGCTGTCAAATGATCTAACCCTAGAGAGACCAACATAAAGTTGTCCATGACTAAAAACTGGTTTAGTCTATATAAATTCGTGAAAAAAGCGCTTTCGACAAAATACTAAAATAGATATCTACTACCCACTTCTGCCTAGCTTAATAGTATGAGATTGCAGCAGCTGAATTGAACAACCTGCTGATGCTCTCTCTGATTATTTCCGTTTTTAAAAGCGCTATATGTTGAGCCACCTTAGCAAGAATTGGCATGTGGTATTTTTAGCGACAACCATTAGTCGATTTTCTAGTGTTGCCATTCGGGGAGTTGTAATGAGGCTTTTTTTGCCGCCGTATAAGAGAAATATATATATATAGATTAATAATAACTTGCTCTTCATTCATTTGACAATTTTTTTTTACATGGTGTGTAGCATTTTTAAAAAGTGCTTAAAGGTGCTTATTTTTGATTTTTGTTATTTGAAAACCCTTAAAAGTGCTTTTTTCATGAGGTGTTTTTAAAAAGTGCTTAATTTTCTCTTTTAAAAAATGAGATTTTTTTCTTTTCGTTACCATGTGGATTTTCGCCACATATTGTGCAAATGCATGCTTTTCACTCCTGTCAATGTTTTAACAATTCATTTCGGCGTACCATCGGTCCGTAGCGTATGAAAGTACCAATCATTTTACATGTTTGATGAAATACTTGCAAGTCCATATGTGCGTCTACTGAGCTGGGTTCAGTGAGATTATTGCCTTCTCGTGCAAATTTTCGGCATTTTGCAAGATATTCTCAATTTCAGGCTTCATTTCCCCCTCCGATATTGAAGCAAAAAATTTCTCTATCTTTTTATAACGGCTAATATAATTTAGAAAAGAGTCCTTTGTCAGAAACTAGTTATTTTCTCATGATCATCTTAAGTCTTTGAAAATTATTTTACATTTTGTTAATGTATATAGTGCTTAAAAAGATTTTTTTAGTGCTTAATAAGTGCTTATTATTTGTCGAAAGATTTGGCTATGAACCCTGTTTTAGCTTTTCTTTATTTCTGGTTATGTATTTAATTTTTTGTTTTGCAAAAACACTATGCTACAATTTTTTCTTTCTTTTACAAGCAAAATTTTTGAAAAAGTTTATTATTATGACGTATGATTTCAGGGTCAAGAAGAGGCAATGTTTCAAGAGTATAGAAAATCTCTTAAAGTTATTTTTGACAACTTAGCAATGCTGGTAAGCCTACCATTAACTAAACTGGAAAGTTTAAATCAATCTAAATGACCAGTCTTTCTTCAATATTTATGTACATATATAATCACATATAAATATGTACATATATGTACACATATTATGTACATATTTAATCCCTGTGGCAGAATTTATTTGGACTTTCTGCGATAAACCTCTCTTAAGTACTAATATCTAACTACAAGATACTTTTAATAATTACTAATATACATATTATTATTAAATATAAGTAACAGAAACGTTGTATTTACAAAGAAAAAAACCCTGTTTGGATATAATGAAATAGTATGTATTTTTTTAAATGAATATGTAATATATTTTTTATTCTAATATGGGCGATATTCTCAAATTTTGTGAGAGGAAAACACACTAATTATTTCTTTTTTCGCATTTTGTAAATCATCATCACATTAAAAAAAATATAATTAAAATTCGTGAAAGGAAAGAAAACCAAAGTTTATTTTTTTCTCGATAAGAATCACGAGCATTTCTTTCCCTCTGATGCGTGAAAAAGGCATCTTTCGAATATAATTGTGGAAGCAAAAAATATTTCAAATATTTCTGCAGAAGGGAAATTTTTTGTTCAATATTCTTTATTTTTCATTCTTCTCAGATGAGAATCGAAAAATTGCGATAATTTCTTTCCCCTCCGATGCACGAAAAAGGCATCTTTTAAATGCAATTTTAGAGAAAAAAAAAATTCAAAACTTTTTGCAAAAAAGAAAACCAAAGTTTTTTACTTTCTAAAGGAAAATTCTTTCTGCAAGAACTCCTGCAACAATGTTGCCATGTCGCCGTGATTCTGCCTCGAGATTATGTTTGAAAAGAACTAAAAGAGTACAATTGAAATATGTTTAGTAAACAGTACATAACAGTTCATAAAAGAATTTAATTTTTAAGTTACATATAACTTAATTTACATACATTTTCTCTCTTTCTTTGTCTATTTCAGATAAACATACTTTTATTATTACTCAGGATAAAACCTTCAAAATTAATAAAAGTAATATTTCGCAACCTTAAGAATTTATTCATGAATTATAGTGTAAAAAAAATTTATTTATGATCGGACTAATGATTTAAATAAAAAATTCAAATGATTCAATTAATTATTTTTGTTTAATGTGATTTCTTTTATATCAACCCTGATTATTATTCTGAAAAAGTGTATTATTATTAGTGAATTCAATCTTTTGTAGTATAACAATTAGACTTATTTTTGTGTGTATCTATTCTTTAGGATTTAAATTTAGTATTTACGCATACAAGAAATATAATCACCAATACTCTAAACCAGTGGAGAAGTCTTTCATTTCAAGAAATAGAAGTTGCAATCACTTTTCTCTATCTTCTAGGAGAAGTATTACCTGTAAGTATAATTAATGTTATCACTTGTTTTATAATATAAATGTTTTACATAAATTTTTGTTGCATGTTTATTTCTTCCATTTCCTTAATGGGCTGCTATGAATTTGCCATGACTTTATCTGTAATACAGTCGATCCCGCTTAAAGGAATACCATCAGTTCCAACCAAATCTATGCAATTAAGCGGCTTATTTGATTAGAAGGGGAGTGTAATATTCAATCTTAAATTCAAAATTTTTGCAAAATTTTGCGTTTTCATGGTATTTAATGCATATTACAGTGTTTTGATCAAATAAACTCAGTTTTGTGATCAATAAACAATTATAATTAAAACTGCCTGTGTTAGTATCATAAAATATAAATGCCATTTAAGTAACATAAAAATAAATCAATGTTAGTCAGGGTTGCAAAAAACTCTTTTTCTAGAAAAACCCAACTTCGGGTGAGTTTTTCTGGTATTTATTGCATTTTTCTTGGTTCTTTTTGGCTTTTCTGGGTTCTTTTTGGCTTTTCTGGGCTTTTTATGTTCTAATAGAATTTTTTTCAAAAGAGAGGGCAGGGATAAGTACCTTATTTTAAAACAGCTTATTTTAATATTAATAATTAAGTTTAATTTTATAAATTGACTTAACATATAGGTAATTAATAATTAATACAAATAAATTGGTGCAAAAGTCTGAAAAAAATGTTTTTTTTTTCTGACATCACAATACAAAATGATATATGTACTCACATACATCACACATTTGAAACTTATACACGATTACTTTTTATTTATATTTTAGTCTTAAAAAATATTTGAGGAAAGTTTTTTATTTTCATAGAAAGCGAATCACTGACTAATCAATGGGCATACAGTCAAATCTAGCCAGCAAGGTGACTCTCCAATCTCCAACTTTCTCCATAAGTTAATTTTTTTAGGCTAGACTACATATATACTCAGTCCAGTCACATTAATGTGACCACCACCTACTTTCGACGTCAATGTGAAATAACCAATCACAGAAGGCAGGTGGCAGCACATTAGAGTGGAGTGTATATATAGGATGTCCTAGGGCATCGGAAAGAATTTCAATCATTGGCGTAATGCAGAAACGTAGCGATTTATCCGACATTCAAAAGGGCAAGATTATTGGCTTTCGGGCCAAGGATGGAAACATTTCGGAAACGGCTAATTTTGTGAACTGTTCACGTGCCACCGTGGTAAAAGTATACCGTGCATGGCAAAATGTCACTATCCAATGTGCCACATGTGGTGCACCACGGGCTATAGATGACAAGAGGCGAACGAATTGCTACGGATATGAGTTCAGGAGAATAGACAGGCAACTGTTGATCAACTGACCACCCAGATGAACCAAGGGGCTACCAAGAGTGTATCCTCAGCAACTGTTCAGTGAACGTTGGTGCGCATGGGCCTCCGCAGCAGACGCTTGGTTAATGCACCTATGCTGACTGCTGTTAATTGACGAAAAAGGCTGGAATTTGCACGCCAGTACCGCAACTGGACGTCCACAGAGTGGCGACAGGTGGCTTTTCACGATAAATCACGTTTTATGTTCCATCGGACAGATGAACACGGCGTTAAACGTCTGAAAGCTAACAACCTGCAACAATTGCCGGAAGGATCGAGGCTGGAGCAGGGAGCATTATGATTCGGGGAATGTTTTCCTGGCGTTCACTGGGTGCACTTATCATTGTGGAAGGCACGATGGATCAGCACAAGTGCGCATATGTCCTAGCAGACCATGTCCACCCCTAATTGCAAATGATTTTTTCTCAGAATGATGGCATCTACCAGCAGGACAATGCAAGGTGTCATACAGCTCGCAGTGTATGAGCGTGGTTCGAAGAGCACCAGGATGAGTTTACCGTACTCCCCTGGCCGGCAAACTCACCGGATTTAAACCCAATCAAGAATCTGTGGGACCACCTCGATCGGGTTGCTCGCGCCATGGATCCTCAACCGCGTAATTTAGCGCAGCTAGCCACGGCACTGGAGTTGGCACGACTCAACATCCCAGTGAACACCTTCAAAAGCCTAATTGACTATCTTCCTGCACGTCTCGCAGCGGTCCACTCTGCCAAAGGTGGTTATTCTGGCTTTTGACATTAATGTGACTGGACTGTGTATTTCAATAGAAAAACCTCTTTAATACAACAGGGGATAAGAAAGAAATCAATCTTAGAAAAACCCACTTCAGGGTGGGTTTCACTGGGTTTTTCAGAGTGGGTTTTACTGGGTAGGTGGGTTTTTTGCAACCCTGATGCTAGTGAAAAGTAAAATATAGGTACTAAAATATTATTTGATCCCTTCTACAAAAGTCTATAATTATAATGGAAGACTGTTTTTATACCTGTTTAATGCATCAATTTATCAAAATTAGATTTTCCCTTTCAATTTCTACTAAGACTTTCTAAAAGACTATGGAAACTTTTTTTGCCGGAAAAGGCTAAAAAAGCAACTATTTTCAGGAATAGGCGACTATCGGGAGACTTTTTTAATCTTAGTGAAGTTTTTTCTCAAAAATGAACGTTACTTTTCAGTCCCCTCGCTATCATGTATATAGTGCCGCCAAAGAATATAGAGGGGATCTATTTTGAAGAAACCACCCACTGAAAGAAACAGCTGACAAGTTGTCAGAAGAAGTGAATGAAAGACTTAAAGAAGTCCTTAGGCTAAGGATGTTCAAGGAATTAGATTTGTACAACGTAGTCTGCAAGCATGAAACAAATGAACAAAAACTAAACTAAATTGTTAATAAAAGAAACCTAACTCTTATACAATCATTTATGTCCAGAAAGCCAAAGATTTAAATTTCCATTAGATTTAATAAAATACTTGTTATTTTTTTCTCCCTGAGGGGGGCAGTTTTGTTCTTTTTAATTGTTTTTTCCTTCTATTAACATAAATATTTTATTGTAATTCGACTTATATTTTGGTACCTAGTTTCTAATATGTATACCTTTTTTTTTGTACAAAACTTTTTTTTAATCATAGTATTTGACAATTAAGCTATAATTTTAGTTATTTGGCTACTATTTTTGATAAATTTTTGTTCCTGTTCAGGCAACTATTTTCATAGTTTTAGGCATTTATTTTCCTTCTTGAGGCTACTAAAAGCAACTATTTTTCTTCCTTTTTTGCTGTAGCAACCCTGCGACCGTACTATGACTGTACTGCGCTTTTGAAAAACTAAGAAAAAGTATTCAAGGGTCCCTAATTTTCCTAAAATTCGTCTTTTTCTTTGAATTGTCTCAACTCTTGACTAAGAACGCAGTATTAAAGTAGCTGTCCAAATGTTTAAATTAAAAATTTTAAAAGAGGATGATAACTTATTTCAAAAGGTCTTAATTTTTTCTAACTATAATTATTATTCTTTAAAAGTAAGAGTTTAAAAAATATACTTTGACAAGTGTAGGAGGCCTAAATAATAAAGTAATGCAATTGTAAAATATAAGCAGCAAATGTAAAGCATAAGTTTACAAATGAATCTTTATTGTCAAAATGAATGATAAGCAGTTTCAAGTTTTAGAAATTTCGAGAATTATTTGAACTCAATATTTTAGTTTGTAAGTGTATTCATATGTTGTGAATCATGTTGCATACTTGTACCATATAGTATGAAGGAGTAATAGAAATTTTTTCATTGATAATGATGCATATTATTTTTTAAAGCTATTGCAATTTTATTGATGATTTTGGTCTACCAATAATATTAATACTCATATTTTTTTTTCTAGTGAATTGCATTGAGGCATATTTTTTTTAGAGTTGTTTCATAAAATAATCAAGAAGTAAAACTCCGAAAATTTTTTTTCCCAAAAATTTCTTTTGAAATCTGAGCTTAACTTTAATAACTTTCTTTTTTTTTTTCTTTTTTTTTTTTTTTAAATCCTGAACTCTTAAATCTTAAAAATTTTATTTCAAATATAGAATTGCTTAGGAAGTTCCTCTCCAGCTTTTGCAGAAAAAAAGGCTGAAATAAATAAAATGCTCCATTTGGTAAGTATGCAATTATATTAGCTTTAAACAAATCATTAAAAATTTATACTGTCATTTTAATTTAAGTTCCTTTTATGTTAGTTTCCAGTTATTTGTAAAATTTTTTCTAATACTAAGATAGTTCATTTGTTATTTTAAACTAATTTGTTTTTGTTTTTTTTTTCACTAAATTTGTACGGATTTCTAAACACATTTTTAAGTTTCTGAGTGTATTAGTTTTATTGCTCAATAAAACAAAATATAACACAGTATTGAATGTACTATTCATAGACACAGATTGTGCTCCGGAAAAAATTTGGATTTCCGAATTTTTCGCTGATTGCGAACCGAGAGTTTTCGAAAATCCGAGGTTCAGAAGTTTCGAAAAATCATTGATCACATTTGTGTATATAAAGTCTTGTATATTTTATTTAGAATTATTAGAACTAGAATTTATACTTGGCAGCTCTTGCATTTGTGTATATTTTTTTTTCTGGTGTAAGAATGAATGTGATAAGACATAAAAGTAAACCTATATATAATTGTTAATTTGAATTATGCTGCATATAATTTATTTAGAATTTCATGTTTTGAAAATATCAAAAATTTGAATTTGTAAAGACATAAATTTTTTGAAATGCTTTATTAATGATTTCACTCAAGAAATTTTCAGGATTTTTGAGTTGGGCTCACAATTATACCTGTAGACGGTAACTTAATTAAAAATGTGGCAGTATTACTTTTTACTTTACTTTGTGTAGGTTCATTTTTTAGATTTTTTTTTTTAGTGAGAATTTTAAACTTTCAAATTTGTCCCATTTAAAAAAAAAAAAAAGAATTCGTTGATAAAATTAAGGAAGATGTGAAAAAAGAAAACATCGAAAAAGAAAAAAGAAGACAATGTTTACTGGCTCGTACCCCCAAACATCGCTGGTACCAGAGCACCCGTCCAGGAGGTGCACTCAACATTCAGATCAATTTCAGATTCAATTTCTGCAGATCTACTATTTTCTTTTTGTCCATGTTCCAAGTATTCTATTTTCAGTTAGTTAGTGTTCATTCAAATTTTTTTTATAATAAAGTTTTAAAATGTACTATCTTGCACTATATAACCCTCTCTGTAAAACAATGATTAAGTCTTGATTAATTACGTAGAAAAATTTATATTTCTCTCTTTTTTCGATAAATCAGAGGATATATTTCTATTTTTTAGTTTTTTTTAAATCTTAATTCCGTCTCTTGATTATTTTTATTTATATGAACTATTATTTTGCCTTAACTGTAACTTTAAATTTTTTTTTTTAAACATTTTTACATTGTCAGGGTTGCTACTCCAATGGGAAAACCTGGAAAATAGAGAGAATTTAAAAATCACCTAAAGTAACAGGGAAAATGTAGAAATTTTTATTTTTTCTTTACAAACTTTGAAAATACAGGGAATTTTCATTTTTTCTTTACAAACTTTGAAAATACAGGGAATTTTTATTTTTTCTTTACAAACTTTGAAAATACAGGGAATTTTGTCCTTTATTTTCGTCTTTCCCACTCAAAGCCCAATCTATAGCCTATTTAAAGATGATATTTCAGCTATACTACACTATTTAATTTACTTTAGCATTATTTGTTTTTAAATATGTTCCTCTGTACCTTTTTTTCTCTAAGTTTCTCAGGCAATTAAATTTAGTATAGTTAGTACACTATAGCTCACACAAAAGTGTAGTGATAGTGTGTTTCCTCCTAATAATATGGTGTCTACAGGGAAAACACATGAAATTTTTTTTTCCAGATTAGAGTGCAATTTAATAACATATTAGTTTCCGTGCTGTATACTTCTTGAATATTTGATATTTTGCAGCTCATAACAACAGATGTTAGTACTCAAGGGCATTCAATAGTAGTTCTACAATTTTTTGAAACAGTTGTTCGCTTTGAAAAATTCTTTGCTCAGGAGTCACAACATATACCCGAAATTTTGGTATGCTCCTTTTTTAAATTATATATATATATATATATATATATAGATAATGCTTATTTAATATTTCAGTTTGCTTTTTTGGATAACAGAGGGCTTAAAAATAAAGATCCTCATGTAAGAAGTCGTGTATCATATTTGTTTTCAAGATTCATCAAATGCCTCAAGTAAGTTAAAATCAAAACTTAATAAAGTATCAATTTTTAATATAATACATGGTGCGAGTATCATTTTTAACATACCAGCACTTAATATAGTATATCTATCATAGCCAATCAAATGACTGGACTTTATGTTTCTTGATAGAATGTGTGAAATATGAATGTTAGGAAGGAAGTGAACACTTTATTGTAATTCAACAAAATTGTATAGTTTTTATGTATTGCAACACACAAAGGATAAGAATTTTTAATTCAACGCATTTTTTACATATACAGGGTGTTTCCATTATACATTTTCCTCAAACATATTTATTATTATTTCTATAATTCTTATAAATAATATTATTTCTTCTAAGAACTGTCTTGATTGTTTTGACATTTTTCTGGGTAAAAACTAACAGTTAGTTAGAAATGAAGTAAAGCTATCAAAATGAGCTACTTACCAAAACATTTAGTTTTTGTCACTTTTCTTATGCAAAAATACCATTCTAAAATTTTAGGTACTTTCTTGAAATTCACAGTTATTCTGATTAGATTGATCTAACCCGGCCAATCGTGGTAGAAATAGGTATATGACAAGTATTATTTGAAACAAACAGAATAGAATATTGACTGTACATAATTGTTAGAAAAAGTCATGAAATCAAGTGTGCATAAATGATAAGTGCATTTTCAATGGAAAAGTTCTGTCATTTGACCGGTTATGATATGTTTAGTGTTAAAAAGTGCTTAAAGGTGCTTATTTTCGTTTTTTAAAAGTCCTTAAAGGTGCTTTTTTCATTGGGTGTTTTTAAAAAGTGCTCAATTTTCCTTTTTCGAAAAGGGAATGTTGATTTTCGTGATGTATATGTAAAAACGTCCTTTTCATATTATTCTATTCAACGTTTTCACAATTCATACGACCACAATCCATTTCGGTGTACCGTCGGGCGTTAGATTATTGCACTCTTATGTGCGCTGCATTTTACAAGATATCCTCAATTTCAGGCTTCATTTTCCACCCTCTGATATTGAATCGAAAAATTTCTCCATCTTTTTATAATGGCTAATATAATCGAGAAAAGAGTTCTTTGTTAGAAACTAGCTATTTTATGTAATTTGGTAAAGTCGTTGGAAATTATTTTGTTAATGTATATAGTGCTTAAAAATATTTTTTGAGTGCTTAAAAAGTACTTATTTTAAGATTTGGCTACGCATCCTGTAATACACGGTGTTAACTGAGAGATTGGTTTGTTCCCTCTGTCATGCCCGAAATTATCTCGGGCACTTACTGTTCCAAAATGTCATTTACTCAGTTTAATTGTTATACTCAAACATTTGTATATAGAGACAAGTTTTAATTTGGTTCGTCTCTTTGTCAAACTCGAATCTATTTCTGGAACAATAGATGGCAGCACTCTATTGAAGGCTTCAAAGAATAGAGGTTTGCCTTTAAAGTACACAATATATATATAATTCTTTTTTGCAGCAAAATGGTGTCCAGCTTTTAAAGCGTTATATAGAAGATTTATTTTTTTAGAAAATGATTTAAATGTTTTTTTGAAAATTTTTTTTAGAAAATAAAGCTCCATTAGAAATAAACTTTGCCACTGCTAGCAGTGGCGTAGTTTTAATATATGTTTGAGGGGGGTTATCGGTCATCTCCTTCTAATATATATATATTGTCCAGTAGTGGATTAATCGTAAAGAGACAGTTCCCAGTAGAACACCAAAGTCAACCATCACTAGCTACGGTCAGTAAGCGGTTGGGTGAACACTTGGATCAGCCTGCGTAGGGACTGAGGATGCACGGTATCGGTTCTCGTTAATCTGTTCTGTAAAGTGCTCGACTTCACGCGCAGGTCATCGGGCTACTAAAGCAGGGGAGCCATCCCTTCTGCAGTGGATCAAAATTGTGATGGCGTGTCTTCGGATCATCCTCAGGAATGTTTCCCAGACTGTCGACAATAGCCCATTGTGCTGCTCTAGTGCGACGTAAATAAAGTACCTAGCCCTGCTTACCTATATATATATATATATATTCTAAACGTTTAAATTACAAAAAGTGAAAAATGAAAACTTTTTTCATATCTGCATCCTATTTATTGTACAGTAGTTTATTATTCAAGTAAAGTTTAATTTCGGAGGGGGTTTTGTTTGTCCCCTGAACCATCCCCATAGCTACACCACTGACTGCTAGGCTGAGTGGCTGCCCCCTAAAGTAAAATATGCAGTGGTTACAAAACCTTAAAATTTTTATGCATGTCATTACTTAACATTTGATTTTTGCAATGAAAAAAAATCTACAATTCATGTACCCAAATCATCAAAATAACTTAACTGTTAAAAGGTTATGGTTAAAAGGTTAAGGTTATTTAATATTATTTTCAATTGTTTCATTAATACTTCAAAAATATTTTAGTTACAATAATTACTTGTTGCTGGTTTAAGCTTTATAAGAATTATTTTTCTTCTTTTAATTGTGTGTAAAAATAATTGTTGTATTTCGATTGATTTGTAAAAAGTAATTAGCTTATTATCTCATGTTAATTTCATTTTCAAAAATTTGACTTAATTGCAACCTCTTCAGTCCTGGGGGGAAGGGAGACTGAATTTAGTAGACTAAATTTCATGAATAGCATTTATTTGAAACAGTCCTTAAAATATTTTCTGTTGAAAACAATATTGTTATTTTTCAGAATTATTGCGAATTGATCAAGTATGTTACACTGAAATGAAAAAAAAAAAATGCGATGAATGCTTCGATTACACAAATGTTCCAAAACATAAAAGTTATGCTAAAAATGAGTGTCTATAAACAATGCTTTCTTACACAAAATGTTTTCAATTGTGTCGAAATTTGTTTCAGTTTCCATTTGACGTCAATGTTTTAAAATGTTGATCAAACTGAAAATTAGTTGTTTTTTTTTAGACAAATAAATAAAATTAAAAAAATCTAGAAAAAAACAATAGCGAATCAAAAAATATGTACAAATATCATTTAAAGAAAATTATTGATTTTTTATTCAGTGATTGGTGTAAAAAGATGAATGGAGTTAAAATTAAAAAAGATTTTTTGGAAAATATTCAAAGTTGGTGAGGTAATCAGCGCCATGAAATTGGCAAGCAAAACAAATTGTGTTCAAATGAATTCTTACTCAACAGGTCTCAAATGTCTAATTATACAGAGGGTATACTTAAAGAACTTGAAGAATTGCTAGTTTTAGATTCCCCAGTGAATGGGATTGGATCTCTCTCTTCTGACGATCAGCTCTACCTATATGAAACTGCAGCTATACTAATTGTTTCTGCTAATTTTAGTCCCGAGGTATGATATTTTCTGCTCATTTCTCAAATGTTTTTATTGTCCATTCTTCCAAAATTCTAGAAGAGTTAAAAATGACCAAAACAATTATTTAAAATAAGATTTGCTTAAATTTAAAAACAATTTAATGTAACCAGAAAGTTAAGTTTTTCTTATTTACTTTTCAGGGTTTTTCTCAGGCAACTAAAATACAACTGTTTGCAACTATTTTTGGCATGCGGCGACTATGGCAACTTTTTTTGCCCAAAAAGGCTAAAAAAGCAACTATTTTCAGGAAAAGGAGACTATTGGGAGACTTTTCTGTGTTCCTAGAAATTTTNTTTTTTTTTTTTTTTTTTTTTTAAAGCAAAAATTGGGTGGAAAATCTGCATCCCACAAGATAGTTTCTGAACACATTGAACTTTTTTTTTCTTAAAAAATAAAAAAATTTGAAAATTTTGAATTGCAAATTTAAGTCTTGACTTTTTAATTCGTTCAATCTGCACAGACTCCATTGTAAGTCTATTTCATTTCTCGATGGCCTTTTCAATGATTATTGCTACGAAATTCTGCATGATTTTTAAAAGAAATTTTTAATACGATATTAGGATGCGTGAATTTCGAATTTGTGTAATCACTTTTCATATATGTAAACATTTACGTTTTCATAAAAATTATCATATTTGCCACCAACTTGACTGAATGGATCATGGTATATGACAATTAAGTCATTAACAAAAATTTAGTCATATTTTTGATGAATTTTTGTTCTTATTTAGGCAACTATTTTCCTAGTTTTTGGCTACTATTTTTATGTTTTAGGCTGCTAAAAGCAAATATTTTGTTCATTTTTTTCTGTGGCATCCCTGACTTTTTTTTTAAAAAAAAATACATAACTATTTCCCAATTATTTATTTTAGCTTTATATAAAATTTTATTATCTACAAATCATATTATTTAAGAGTTAGTATCATTTCCTACTAAAAGTATTTGATTCTAAAAATTAGTGTGTAATTGATATATAATGTACACAGTGCACCTCCCCAATCCTGAATTACTTTTGATCAAATGATTGAATCTTTACGTTCTAGGGCCCTATCTGAACGGTTCGAGGGGGTGACTTCAAATATGCAAATTACATAATGCAGTTACAAAATCAGACGCAAAAATGAACTTTTTTTCTAGAGATTCGGATTTCTGACCCCCGAAATATAGAGCTGCAATCTGTGTAATCCCATAGTTTGGTCAGGAGAACAATCCAAAATTTGGACCCTTTAATGTTAATTTTACTTTTTCCGTATTTCGCCATACTTCAAGAACTTTTTATGCTGATTGAAAAGTTTTTGTACACAATTATAAAATTTCTTCATCCAAGGATTATTTGGACAATATAACTTTTAGTAAATATTTATTTTTTATTATTTTATGTAGTAATAATTGGAAAAATTTGGAATTGTAAGGCATATAAGTTTTTATCTCATTTTAAAGTATGTAATTTTACAAAAATGGCAAAATCTGAGTTAAATTGGATAGTTAGTTCTTGAGAAGTTGAAATTTTAAAAGGTCGTATATTTAAAATTTGATTTCTCAGGAACTATTCAACCAATTTTGCTCAAATTTGTGTTTTGCCGTGTAAAATTATATACTTCAAAAAATTTTATAGCGTACAATTCAAACTTTTTCTACTATAATTAAATAAAATAATAAAAAATGATAAATATTTACTAAAATTATATTTTTGCATCTTTAAATAAGCGAATTTTATTACTGTGTGCAAAAAATTTTAATCTTGCTTAAATTTTTTTTTGAGATATGGTGATATAAGCAAAAAGTAAAATTAACAGTAAGGCGTCCATACTATGGGGCCCATATTTCCCAGTTTGTAGTTATCCTCTATGTTTTAGGGGTCAGGAATCAGAATCCATCGAAAAGAAGGTATGTTTGTGAAATGTGTGTTTGTGTCTGACTTTGTAATTTAAAACATAAACTGCACTAATTGATTAGCATATTGGCTGTTATCTCCTCGAACTATTAAGATTGAGTCCTAGAAAGTGAAGATCTGATCATTTGAACAAAAGTTATTGTACTATAACGATTTTAATTTCTTAAGAAATTTATTTTTGTTTCAAATTGTTGCTTTTTAGTTTTTACAAAACTGAAAACATGTACTAAATTGACTGAAATTTAGTACTATATTATTTGAACTGGATCGCAATGATAAACTGCTTAAATTTTTTTTTTAATATGGTGAACCTTCCAGGAACTGAAATTTCAGTTCACTATAACTGGGAGCTCACTATATCCGTACTGCAAACAATTTCTCCCTTTTATGACACATTATTTAAATAAATGTCCCAGGAAATTCAAAAATGATTAAAGAACAAATGTAATTGAGGACACTTTTGGTTCACTCTATGCACAAGTTGACAAACTCTGTAATATGATATGAAATAATTTCAGACTAAGTTGGAAGCCTTGCAACGATTGTTGATGCCAGTTGCTGAGAAGTTCGCAACATTGTTACAGAGCCTACCTACAACACCTGACGAACATCGTAGGAGAGAGATTGCTAAATGCATGAATCATGCCATTGCTGTTACTAGGTTTACCTCCTACTAGTTTTTATTTTCATTGTTTGACTGTACAAACTTTGCCTTTGTATATATGTATAAACATTAATACTAGTGAAATACTAATTCTCTTATATTTAATGAAGTAGGAAAATAAAATGTCTGTGAAACAAAAGCTCTGTTAACAGTTATGAATTTAAATTATTAAAAGGGACTTATGAACCATAATTCTAAAATTACTTTTATTTTCAGACCACTATGAGTTAACGAAAATCTACCAAAAGCTCTTTAGTAGTTAAATTGTTTTGAAGAAGAAATTCAAATTTATATTTATATATATATATATATATATATATATATTGATNGCAGGCATAATAATGCATTTTTTGAAAGTTTCATGTTTTTCAACTTTGTGTGCTTGTAGAATATATTAATTTTCCCTTAAATACAAACGTTTATATATCAAATTGAAGGTAATTTAATGTAAAATTTAATAACATAAACAGCATTAAAATATCTGTATTGCAAAAAAAGGTTATGTTCATTTTAGTAGAACAACCAAACACAAATAGTTTTGAATAAGGACGTGTTTTGTAATAAAAGCGCACTAGCCAATCTCAAACACTGTTCTTAGGACCAATCAAATGTCTGTAGCTATAGTTTAGGTTATTTGGATGGTAAAAGATCTATTGTTGTGAAAATATTTTGCGGAATGATGCATACTAGTACAATTAAATAGAGTATTGCTGTTTTTGAATATTTAAAGTCCTTTTTTTTTAATTAAACTAATATTAAACAAGGTCATCAACAAGAAGAACTAATTGGACATCTACAAAAGAAGTCGAATTGTCATATTGAGAGAAAATGGCCTCTCTTGTGCTGAAATTGCTAGACAAGTTGGTGGTTCAGTGACTTGTTCTGGTGCACGAAAGTTCTGTTTACGTTATGAAAAATCGAAATCAGTGGAAAATAAAGCCAAATCAGGCTGGAAAAAATGCACAAGTGTTACTGCCGATAGAAAAATTAAACGGCTATGCAGGGTTTGAAAAAACCCGGGGATTTTTGAAAAAACCCAACTCGCCTGGGTTTTATTGGAAAAACCCGGGGAAAATTGGGTTTTATCTGAAAAAACCCGGGGAAAATTGGGTTTTTTCATTTAGTGCTCATAAATTTTACTGTGAAAATATTTTTATTTATTAAATAGTATTGTATAAGTAAACACTAAAATTTCATCTGACTTTTACCTGTAATAAAATTAAACTGGAATAAATATTTAATGGTCTTCAATGTTTTTATAATACGATTAATAGAAAGTGAAATTAAAATTATGTATAATTATAAAGAGTATCAGTTACTTGTCCCTTTTTTCAAATATTTAGATAAATATATGCATTTTAACTTTATAGTTTCAAAAAACAAATTAATCTTAAAATTATAAAAAAGCATATATAAAAAGTTATAGCTTATTTTTTTAAAATCAGATAATAAAACTTTAAATTTGTTTATTGTTGTTTAATGTATCACTTAATAAA